GTGACATTCGAAAAGGTCGCATTGCATAGAAATTAAGCAAAAACATTTATATCTTTTTATCCATTATATTGAGCGGAAACCAAAAGGGAGAAAGTGCATTCTTTCGTGTAAGTTTTAATTAGCGAGTTTAATCTATTATTAACACCACTTTAAAAACTATTTCAAACTTTGCAACTTGAACGTAGAAAATCTTATAAAGAGGTCTTAAAGGTTTATCCAATTCGATTGTGGAATTGTATCGAACTGTTTTTATCAATATTTTGCAAACTTTCTTTCATTCAAATTAAAACATTTATAATTATAAATAATTATAGCATTTGTTGCAGACATATTTACCATTATAAATCGTAATAACTTCAATTGAATGACAAAAATAACACATTTTTCTTTCATAAAAAAATTCTTTTTGTATTGGAAAATAAAACGATAAAAAAAGGTTGTATAAAAGGCAAAAAGATATTGATAATTAATGAAGGATCGACAAGATGCGGGAAATGAGAAATAAACATGTTTCATCATCCTATTACAGATAGGTTTTTTCGTACCAAAATACAAATTTCCTGAATAAACCATACAATGGAAATAAATATATAGATATCTACAGACATTTCGTAAGCAGCGCCTGTGTTAAGCATCTCTTTGCTCGTACTCGGTGAACGCTAAACATAAAAATAGTGTCATTGTTTGAAATGAATATTGTAAGTGAAAAGCAAATACAAACAATTTAATTAATTATTATGTTTAGCATACACAGCGTCCGAGATGTGTTAAATAGGCGCTATTTTCGAAATATCTGTAGACATCTATCTATCTATTCATATTGTATGGAATAAACCTCTCTTGTCGTTTCTACTCAGACACCTTCAGTTTCAACAAAAAATGACTCAAAAAAATTTTTTTCAAATAAAATTTGCAACATTTTTTCACTCAACCGTACAGTTCCATATTGATATTCTGAAAAGACTCAAGTTGAAATCATGAAACCGTTCGTCAATTAATAAGCGTAGTTCAAAATTATTTGTTACAAAATTGTTATGTTATCGAGAGGGTGTACCCGAGAAGTGTGCGCTGCAATACACAATATTATATATGCCTTGCTAATTAATTCGTTTCGGTGACTGCAAATGTTGAGAAAAAAAATTGAATTGAAAATTCAATTGAAATGCCAATCGCGTTCGGTTTTTGTTTTGCTATCTTTTTCAATGTTTTGTTTTTTTTTTTATATTTCATCCTTTGATTACAAACGTTGAATATGAAGTTTCAATGGTGGATTCCATTCTATTTAAGCGCTCGACAAAATATGTGCGTTTTTGAATCGTTAAAAAAAAGTTCACATAATGAAAGTTGGGTTGGCAAATAAAGTCATTCGTTGCATTAAAACATACAACGCAATGGCACGTAGAAGCTATACACGATAAGGAATTTAGATGTTTTATCAGAGTATTGCAATTGAATATTTTTGCTTTGCAACGGAAAAACGAATGACATGATTTGTGGAAATGAAATACACATCTTGACAATCAACGAGACATTTTTTTTGCTATTCTTTTTCGGTTTCACTTTTATTCCAAAGAACAATTCCTTTTCCCAACTGTAATTAGTTATTCTCGTAATATATTGTTGTGAATTCAAACTAAGATCCATGACGCATGGAAAATTGAGAACTAAATCATACTATCAATAAACAAAACTTACACACTAAAATTATATTCTTCTGAAAAAAACCGGGAAAATATGATAATCTCAAGTTGGGGTTACAATTGTTGGTTAGTCGGTTTTCGTTCGCTAGTTTTCGATTGTATTACATTTTCGCCGGCGAATTATAACTTTTTTCTTCTTTCATATGCAACAACTCAAATGGAGTGAGCAAAGCCATGAGCAATTTTTAATACATTATGAAGCAAGTGCACGGCGCACAAACAAAGAATGAATAGAATCTATTGAGATCAAAATTGTCTTCCGTTTCGTTATAGTCATCTATTGTTTCGGTTCATGTAAAAGGCAATTTTTACTTTCTTTTATGTGTCTTATGTTTTAGCATGTATTTTCTCTTTTTTTTGTAACCGCTGCATTTCGTATTTGAATACAACGTTTTTTTTCTCTTTTGCGTCGGATACTTGAAATTTTTGTCGGCGTTATTGTTGGGTATTCCGTTTAAGGGTTGGATAAAATCTCCCCCGTCTTTGAACTTGTTCACAAACGGCGAAGTGATATATTTTTATAAATTGCAAAATGACTAGAAATATTATTTACATATTTGTTTGTTTGTATTTTTTAATGTTTCACTTGATATGTGTGTTGGATGAAATTTAGTGAGAAAAAAATCCATTGGATTACTGGACTATCTTGAACTGTACGCTCTATCGCATGTGTTAGTAGCTATTTATTTTTTATTATCGTTGTTATCGTTGTAATATTTGTTTGTTTCCGTCAACTCTCGCAACGTTTCTTCCATAGAAGAAAAAAGTGTCTTATGTGAAATCGTGAGAGAGCGAGCAAATTCAATAGAGAAAGTCCAGAATCTTGTAGTTATTCGGTGTTAACACGATGAGAGGGGAGAAATGCTGTTAAGCACATTATCATGATTCATGAATCAAATGAAATTTGATAGAAAAAATGGAATTCGCTTTACTTAATACAGACCATTTTTATCTCCCTCAACCGCTCTCTCCCCCTCTTATATCCACAGTACTCTTAAAACGATGACAATGGCTCTTTTTACATCTTTTGCTTCGCGGTTTTTCTATTATGACTTCTGTTGCTTCATCTCGTTGTGCTGTTCTCACTGCATTCTCGTTGGCTCGCGAGCGAAAAATCATGGTGCACATAAAAAAAAATTAAATGAACTGAAACAAGTTTTCATTCATGCAATCGAACTTAACCCATACTGATGGCACGCCATGCATTTTTCCAACTACTTTCTTCATCATCTTCTTCTTTCAGCCGTTTTCTATTTATCAAGTCTGGAAGAAGAGTTTAATTCTGTGGTATAAGTATTATAATCTTAGTTTTTGCAACACTACTAAGTTTAGATTAAAAGACTCGCGATTCAATTGAAAATCTGGTGGAGCGTTTCGTCTTTTTTCTGTTGCATTTCAAACCTCAACTAGAGCAACAGCGACGACGGCAGCATCACGCAGTTTTTTATGCCCTGCTTTATATTACATTTATGCCATTTCCATTGGGGTTTTCCGTTGGTGCTTAAAATCCTGTTTGCATTTTCTTTTTAGCAAATCAATATAATACGTGTTTGGCTGTCATGTAATAGTTTTCGCACATGAATTTTAATGATTTCTAAATTTATTGCTTCCATTGAGAGCGAAAACTTTTTCGCCTTGGTTGCGCCAACTCCAAATCACGAAGCATGCAAATGAAATAAATACAGAATACTATGCAATTCCCATCAATGTATAAAAATTAAGATGAAAGAACAAGAAAATAGAGTGGAAAAAGAAAAAAAAAACCGTCCGCGCAAAATATTTTATGTGGATAGTGTGTTTTTTTTTTCGTGCGGTGCCCATCATTTTGTATGCAACGCATTTGCTGATTTTATGTGCACAAAATACTGAACAGAAATTGAATTGAATTTTTAGTTTCGCATTTTTTTTAATGTCGTTATCACGTACTGCGTACAATTTAACCATTTTCTACCTTCATCTTTTTCTCAAATAAAGTTTATCAATGGAATCATAGAATCTTTTTATACTCTTCTTTTGCACTGCCACTGCTACTTCAACCGAAACCTTTGTGGAATGGAAAAGTCATTTACCATTACAAAACCGAATAAAATCAGAAAAATATAACAAGGTTATAGCTGTTTATACAGAGCCTGCCACTTAAACTCAACTATATGTGCATGATGAAGAGACTGGATTCTTTTGATATAAATTGTGGCTCCTTTTTTGTCGTTTATCAAATGTGTACTGAAATAATGATATTCAAAAATCTATGCATGACTCATGCACATTGTTTTAGATAAAAATTGTATTACATTAAATGATAACTACAACGAAAATAGTATAGTGGTTTGTTCGATGCTCGCAATTGATTTATGCCAGTTGAAAACCATAAATTGTGTACACACTATAGCGAGCATGTGAAAATCGATTTTGCGTGAAATATACATTGTATTGTGTTTGTATGGAATTAGGGTTCGCCGTTATGTGCATTGTTTATGCACTTATCTGATATGATGAGGGTGCGATGCGATTCATTGATATATGTTCGATCTCATGTGTTAAATGTTATAATGCAATTTTCTTGTTCTCCCCTTATTTACTGCCACGACATTTTTTTATTTTTTTTTTTCGGCAAACGACACAATTGAGAAACGCATTTCCTTTCCGGACCACTCGCCACATTTTATTTATCTACAGAATTGTTTGGCCAAACAAGAAAATCAATAATTTAAGAAGACCATATATTTCATGATGTTCATTTTCAAACAAATGCACATTTATGAATTTCCAGCTATCGTCTGTTGCTGTTTGGCGATTGAAAAATGGTCGGTTTGGTTTTTGTTTTCTTTAATCCTTGATTAAATGCTGTGTTTTCCATTCGGACGAGTTTTTATAATAATATCATTAATTTAACATTAAATTCAACAAAACATTCTTACCGCTTTTTTGTTTCGTTCATTTCATTCGATAAAGAATTTTTTTTTCCCAAATGCTATCTGTAAAATTGCTCATTTTAATTAAAACAAACGCAATATGCTATAGAGGTCATACAAAAAAAAAATTCAAGCAAAAACATCGTTTGTTTTTATTAATTCACGATTTCTCGTTTTATTTCAGCAGCAACTCTAAAAAATATATATACAAACCACGAAAAGTCATTCAATATTTCTTTAATGCATACACAGCCAAATGTCATTGTTCTGGAAAACTTTGCTGAAAAATAATGACGACGATAATTTACAAATTGAATTCCCCAGAATAAACTGAACAACGAAATGATTTGTTTAATTTTCTTCGAATTTTTCAAAAGTTTTTTTTTATTCCGAAAAATGTATATCGTTTTTTAAACATGCTAATGTGGTAGATTGCGAATTTTGCTGTAAATAATTCATTTGATTTAATACTTTTATAATACTTTTTTGAATATAGAAATCTTCGTATCCGTTTTTTTTTGTAATTGGGGCGCAATTTAAATTGAAACTCGCAGAAATGAAATTAATACTGAAAAGTCAATGTATGGCCGTTAATCAGTGGAGGGCGGTTGATATCAACGGACATTATGAATCGTAGCAAAAACCAAAATGAACAATCTTTAAGTCGATAATTATAAAAATTGAAAGTGTCGATGTGTTTGAAATTTGTTTGAATGAAAACGACGATTAAGCCTATATTGATCAATTGATTGCTGGATGATTTGCGCTGTGATCGGCGTATTCAACACAATCGAAAAAGAGTTTTTTACAAAGATGGCATCGGATTGGTTTTTGTGGTGTACGTTGAATACCACTGGGCGCCCTCTTTCTGATTTCAGCTCGTAAATTTTTTAAGCCCCAATTAATCTCAGCAGCATTAACATCATTTTGCGTACCCGATGCACCACCGTTTGAACTTAAGTTTACAAAAAATCTAGAATATTTGGAAAATTCATCAATCTGTGGAAATGCTTGTGATCTTCGAGTAAAGGTTTGCTTACTGTTGGCTTCATTACTTTCGTTTTCCTTTTGTAACAGTTGGCGACGAGCTGACGATGGGATTTTTTCACATTTTTCCAGTTGATGGGTCTTTAAGCCATGGCTTTTCACAAAGAATTTGTCGCAATATTGACACTTGCCAGACTGATTGGTGTTTGTTTTACCATTTGATGTGACTGTAGCTGATGAAACCATCGATGGATGCAAACTTTTTCGAACCGGTAAGGCACTTGGTTTGACGAATGTGTGTTGAGTCGACGATGTTGAAGGTGCAACTGATGATGTAGATGCTTTGGCCATAGCAAATGTAGTGAGGAATGATCGTGTTTCGCGACGTTGAGCACGAACATTCGAAGACATCGATTGACGTGTTGACACAATCGACATCTTTGGTGGCTTTGTTGGCCTTGCCACCGGATTCACTGTCGGTTGGGCAATTGTTAATCTCGATTTGTTGACAATTGTACGCGGTGCGGGTGCATCTACTGAAAATAACAAAGAAATTAGATTTTCTTCAAATTCTGTGGAATGTTGGCAAAATAGTTTCTTTGGCAACCGATGGCGGCGCTGTGAATGATTCAATTCATAAAGCACAACTTACTCTTTGTCGCAGTTGTTTTCACAACTGAGTTTTTGGATGACACCGGTACATTGCTTGTGGACGTTTTGGTGACAGGTGCTGTTGGGCGTTTCAATTCTGATGCTTTGTTCTTCTCTACTGTAAATAATCTCAAAAGATATAAATTGATGTTCCCATTGAAATATTTTGTAAATTCTTACCTGTCGGAAGTGTTTTGCTCACTTGACTTGCGACGTTCTTCAAAACGGCCAACGATTTACGTGGATCAACCTTTCGCGGTTCATACGTGGATGATCGGCGCTTGTAGGTTGTGGCACGCGTTGTTAGTTTTTTCACAACCGGTAAAATACTTTTTCGGCTATCACTGGCTAATTGCTGTCGACCGATTTTAATTGTATTCTTCGATTGTGCTGTCTTTTGACCCGCTTGCAATATCTCTTCGACGGTTTTTACATTCGTTTGAACTTTTTTCGGCAGTGGCGCTGAATTTTTAACTGTTGGTGGTACCGTACTTTTTCTCTCTTGAACTTCAACTGGTCGATTACGTGTTTCATTCGATGCTGTCATGTCAGGTGCTTTCGATGAGATTTCAGCACCTTGGACGACAGATGGATTAGCTGGCATTTCCATATTGTCTGTCAATGTGATATTCGCCGGGATCGGTGATGAATTTTCAATGACCGTATCATGTAGATCGCCCTCCAAACCATCGCTGATGTTAAATGGCGACTCATTGACTGTGACCGATTCAACACCATTTTCGAAAATTGGAATTTGCTGAACGGGATCTTTCACGTCATTTTCGTTCGATATGTCTGGCAGACTTTCTTCAATGACTTTTAATTCGAATGTTGTATCCGCGATCATGTCGACACATGATTCACTTGTTTTTGACATCTTACTAGCTACTTCTGGTGTTGGACATGGTTTCGGTATTTGACTGAATGAAACACGTTTGTTATTTTTGTTACGTGGGGTATAGTTGGTTTGTAATACTTTTCTTAACAGTGGCGTTTTTGAGCTGGCCACATTTGGAATGATGGGACTGCTTGAATCTGTTACGGTCCATTGACCTCCGTTGGCCGAATTTTCTTTGCTGTCCTCTTCTCCAGAGACAAACGAGTAATACATACTGTTTTCCGAATCGTCGTTATCTCTTGGAGTACCATAGTTGCTAATGTTACTGATGCAACTGTATCGCTTTTGTTTTGGCGTTTGCATATTTGCTGCACCAATTTGGATATGATCTGGAAAGAAAGAGAGGAAAGAACCGATTACCTTTTGATATAGGATAAGATAGATCAAAGTCTAGAGACACTATTTCAATATTGTTGGTGAATAAATCACATCAAGAGAAACTCATTGTCCTCAATGGTCACTTGATTGAGGCTCATTTGGCATGAGCCGTAATGAACAGATTTCACAGTATCGACCTTGAAAATGACATTGCCTAACAAAATAATTCACACCGATCTATTCACTGAACAAACATCACGATCTTATCAATCGAACAGTCAGTGGTTGAATTGAAAAAAAAATCGAAAAAATTATTTAATTGTTTTTTTTTTTTTCAATTTGTTTTAGTCACTAAATGATGGTTCGATTTTTTCTTCAATAAATTGATCCGTACATTACATTTGTCAAAAAAAAAATCAATCAAATCGCACTAAATTATCACTTACCCAGGATTGAAAATGAACACAATCAAAATACACACGGCTGAATCGATGTTTTCTTACTATTTTGTCAAGGCAAAACACACGAATCGTTCAATATTCACTATGTCTTGAACTAAATATAAAACTGGTCGTTGAAAAATATACTAATTGTCGAGAAAAAAAACTATTAAAATAACGTACACGACTTGATACATACAAATGGTAGACGCTTATGCTTGTTTCGTTTCGGTTAATGAGTCGAATTTGAAAAAATCCAACATAGTTGACAGTTGGTACACTTGAACCGCACAACAATAGAGTGCGTTCCATCGATCAAGTGGAGAGTTATATATAGAAGCGCTGACTACAAATGAATACAAAAATCAAATATTTGCGTGAATAAAGACGAAATATTTTAGCTACTTCAAAAATGATAAATTTTCATGAAAAAAGAAATGTTTTTACGGCTTCATTGTAAGTTGGTTTTCCATTGCGTCGGTGCAAATAGATACATATAACCGGCAACATTACAACAACAAAAACCACAGATGACAAACACCAACCACTGTTGTTTTTATTTTGACAGATGGTATAAACAAAACCGAACAAAAACGGTTAACTGTTGGGGAATGCGTAAAATTCAAAATTAACATTTTATTTTCATTCTGTCCATTTGTTAAGACTAAATCTTTTTTCAAAGCGATTTTGATCGTTTGAATCGTGACAATACACACTTTGGGAAACTTGGAATAAATGTGAGCTGTTGAATTCTATATTCATTTGACAAACGACCAACTTTATTTTATCACAGATGTACGCATAAGATGTATTTTATATAAAAAGCCATCCCAATTATTAAATGGAATGAAGGAAACATGTGCACCAAATAATGATGCCTCGTAATTTGTTAACAATTTAGCCATACACTGTGTATGTGTGCGCGCACTATGATACGATGCGAAGAAAAGTCGAATGTTTTCGCTGAATGTAGATTGTAGTTACTGGCTCAAAGTAATCAAATTATACATTCACTTACGTTATATATACGCGACTGAATTTCGCACAATAGAGAACATTGGCTTACTAAAAGTGTTTTGAATTCATTTTTCGAGTCTTCAGGGAATGAATTGCGCGAAGAAAGTGAGAACGGTTGAAGAAAGTTCCATTGCAATGAATGCAATGCGCTATGCGATGCCACTAGAACACACAATTATGCAAAGCTTCTGAATTAAATATATTAAATAAGCGATTGAATTTTTCGTATAGTGGTGTCAGTGAAAGAGCGTGTGCAAGAGTGAGAGGATGTACAAGGGATTGTTTGAGTGACTGATAAATTAAATAAACAAAAGCGCATTTGCATCATCGTCGATGCATGTTCGGTACGCTTTAATTGTGAGTCATTTGATACATTAAATGAATGGAAACCTATTTAAATGCAGATTTTTCGTTGAAAATGAAAATTTTCGCTGAAAGAAACTAAAACATAATAACGCTTTAATTATCATTACATTTCAAGCGACTTCAGTCTAATTTTGAATACCGTTGCACCAACAACACTTTTCATATTATCTTTTATTTTCAGTATGTGCTGCCATCGTCGCCGCAGCCACTTCTTCTATTTTTTTTCAGTGAATAGATTGAGCTACAGCTATATCAGTGCTATTTTCACAGCTCCTATTCATAGGCGCTATTTACGACTTTATGATACAATTCCGAACGAAATTTTCGAAATGTAAATAGAACAATAGACTTATTGTTTTTAGTATTTTTTGCATAAACAAATCAATACGTCTATTGTCCGGAATTGAATCATAAAATCGCTGTCCGTATGCGTTGTTCACAAATAGCACCTATGAATAGGAGCTGTGGAAATAGCACTGCTATAGCTGTAGCCCAATCTATTCGCTGTTTTTTTTTGATATTATTATATTTCACGCATTATATTCGTTATATTACGACTTTTTGCGCTGCAGAAAAGGTTTTGCGCTGCAGAAAAGGTTTTGCGCTGCAGAAAAGGTTTTGCGTTGTTAAACCGAATGGGAGAACAGAAGAGAACTCTGAGAAGCGAAACTTTAGCCAGTCAACAGGTAGAAAGAAGCAAGACATAAATGCTTCTATAAGTGTTCAAAATTAACTCATCAACAGTTTGTCAAACATGCTAAAATTCAAGCGCTACTATAATTTAAATAAAAAAAGAAGAATGATTAAAAAAAATTACGTTTGTTCACCAAGTGTGAGAAAATTCATTTAAAGTGTGTGCTCATTGGAACATGCTGTTGATATTGAGTAGAACAAGGGAAACACAATTCTCTACCACATTCATTCAAATACGTGCGTGTATGTGCTCAAAGATTTCCATTGGCGTCAGGTATCGTAGACAATGACAATGGACCGGCGGGTAATTGTTGGTAATGGTTATTATGCGATGCTTGAACTTGATTCTTATCCTTTCTAATGAATCATATCGTGTCGCATTCATTTCATAATGTTTCATAGAGATACTCTTGAACATAGTAGACTCAAATCATTGGCGACACATTTAGTTGCCATTCAATTTCTGTGTGATGAGCGCATCAATAAAGGAAATGTGTATGGAACGCGCATCGTTGAACACATCTTCCGTAACATATTATGGTGTTACACCTTCAAACGAGAAACTGCCATGCACGAGATTGAATTTCACCTCCAACGATGGACAAGAAAATGTATTTTTGAAGCATAGACGTGAGGCATTGCAACCGATTAAAACCAGTCGGACATACACATGTTGTAAGCTAATGTATTTTTGTGTCCAGTTATATCCAACAGCAGCAGACCACAATGTCAAAAGAGCGAAAAAACTCAATTCAGAAACAAAATTCGTTGTTTGACGACGACTTGAAGCGCTCCAACTGTAAATCCCATTTGGTTGTCTTTTTAAATGCACATTCAATTTGGTTCCTATTGTATAATACATAATCGGTGTATTGTAGTCAAAACTCCATAATCTTAGTTCGAATAAAAAACCAAAATTCAAGCAATAATGGGAATATTTAATCCCGAAAATTTGAGTTGCCGCAATGATTTATAAATGATTGAGCCAATTGATATCAAGGACGATATTAATAACAGTAATCTTCCCAACGACGAAGGAGAAGTACTATTTACTTACCATTTTGTTTACCTACTATTTTCTATCGTTTAGTACATGCATCAACCAAAGAACCGCTCCGTCGTTGCTGTTGTAGTGTTTGAAGGGGAAATACTCAGTACCCCATCCAATTTTATTTCCATCACAAAAATGAAAAGATGTTTGTATTAATTTTTCAAAAAAATATATTTTATAGATTTTTATACGCCTATTTTAATGCATAATAATAATTTAACAATTTTCACACAGTTTTCTGTAAATTGTTTGTGTACGTGTGTCAAAATTGAAAATGACATTTTATAATGAACGAAATTTGCGAAATCAAAGTCATAGCCGCGATAAATCAACGATAATTATATTAAGCAATATAAATGTCTATACAATGAAAGAAAAAAAAAAACATTTCCGAAATTTGTTGTGATGATGCGTAAAGTATTGCTGATAACAAAGAGTATTTGATATAAATTCAACAAACAATCGATGAACGATTTCGTCTTAAAATATTTCAGTAAATTTAAAATGTTCTATGAACGGCCACATAACCATGCGACCATGGTACCATCGAGCTCGGTTTATATTCTTAAAACAGATCTTCGGCGAAGACCAGTTGAAAGCAACTGAACGTCTATTTGTTGAATAATCACATCTTTTTTGTTGCAAATCAAGACCAATGAGCCATGGTTTTTGAATTAAATATCCAGGCGGTAAACTCATCTTAGATCATGATAAGTTGGTTGACTTATCAGGTCTCAGATCTATTGATGAATTAAAAAAAAAATTGAGAAAATTCAAAAACCCACTCACAAGAAATCAAATGTATATCAAAATGAATGTGAATATTCATGGGAGGCTTTTTTTGATAATTTTTTTTTAAAAGTTTGTGACAACATTGACAGGATGGAAAAAACGATGGTTAAATTTTGAATTTTGAAATTTATTTTTGTGATTTTTCAAACTTTTCTTTCGAAAATAACAAGTGACATGAAAAGGCAATGGACTTGAACTAAATAAAACTGATTAATACCGTATCGAGTTCAATCGAAAAAGTCTTTAATTTCAAAATAAAAAAATACTATGATTTAATATTTTGAATTAAAACGAAAAAAAAAAAAATATTGAAATTGTTCGATTGTAGAACTGCGTTGAAAATGTAACATGTTCCCTAACAAGAAATCTGCACATCATGCTTCATATTCGCGAAGCGATAATTTTTCATCTGTATTCTGATATAATTTAAATGACATTTAATAAATATTTCCAGTTCTTATGCTTAAAATCTTATCTAACACATTTGTTCTCTCTGTTGTTAAATCTACAGATATTTGCTGTAATAATGTTCAAAACAAAAAACGGAGGGTGGCTTTGGGATTAACATTTTCTGCATGCCATATTATAATTTGCTGTATCTGCTTTTTTTCTATTTCACAAAATTAATTTGTTCACATTCTTTTCTTTTTTTTCTAACGATCTGCGATTTTAATATATGGACTTGCATTGGAAATGTTGTCTCAATCTAATATTGTTAGCTAAATTTACATTATTATCAATTGCTGTCTGTATCTGTTCTGTAACTATTACATATATGATCTTGGCTCGTTCATAATGAATATGAACGATTTGTCTGTGTTGTTTAGTTCTATTCATGTTTACAAAAGACCGCCTTTACGGCCAAAGAACAGAGAACTAATGCTGCCTACAAAACTTTGTGTGTAGGATTGTTGGGGTGCGGCTGATGCAATGCTCGATCGATCATCATCATCTGAATCCAATTCTTGTAATTGTTTCTTTGTGCTGTGAGTAGATTTATTATGACTATTTAAACTATTATTGTTATTGGATAGAGATTTAGCAGCTGCCACAGACCCAACAGTACCAAGATCAGGTCGTTGACCACCAGCTCCATTCATCAGACTTCTTCGACTCTTTTGTCGCTGCATTTGTTTTACACGCTGCGATGTGTTGCTCTTATCGTTGCGATTTGTTGCGGCGGTATTGCTTACATGCGACGACGATGGAACAGACCGTTTCTGGCTATTCAACGTCGAATCGGATGAATCATCAGCATTTGTAATTGAGCTTGTTGTTGAACCATCGGTACTAATATCACTGAGTAGACTTTCGTGCGAAAGACCCTTATTCAATACGGCTTTTATTGTCTCCTTATCCATAGCGTACAAGTCGTCACTGCGACGTTGTTGCTGTGATATATTCTTTAAACTGGTCAGTTGGGTCATTGGGCTTGCCGTTCGTGTTCGTACAGATCCAACGGCCAACGGGCTCATACCAACTGGGTGATAATTTGATGATGCATGCATTATATTCTCGAGGCCAATGCTTTCGACTTTTTCCACCAGACGCAACGATCGCAGAGCACGTTTTTCTTGTCGTGAGAGAAGAATCTTACTTCGTGATGGGATTCGGGATGATCGGTCGGGACTTTCACTATTACTTCCGACTAATTTTCGTCGAATCATATCGGCGCCCGAATAAATCAAACCTGTTAGTAATGGTGGTTCGGGTGAACGGTCTCGGGTTGGTGATCCCTCTGAAAAAAATAATGTCATATTCGTAAATGTTGATATATCACACAAAGTATGCCGAACACCTTGATTGAGTTAACTCTAATTTGAAACTTACCCGGACTATTGCAAGGTGTCACTGTTGGAGAATGATTTTGACCGGCTGGTGTGTTTAATGCGCTTGGTGTAACTGCCTTAATACCTCGTTCGTTTAGCATTGAAGCTAAGCCCGCACTCAGCGAGAATGTTGAGCATGAATTTCGTCGAGATAAACCAGAGTGTGGTGTTGCCGGTGCGCTGTTTAGATGAAAGAAAGAAATCAATAAAATGTTCAAAGTTCGAAGTAACAACGCAATTCAAAGTTTGATAAGCTGTGAAAATACTCGAAAATTGTCGTACCTTGGTTGCCGTGAGCTGCTTATTGAATTAACTTTCGATGACATTTGCGATTGTGGCAGACTAGATGTCATCGACATTCCATCATCCGGATGCATAACTGTGCTATTTGTGTACGTATAAATGCTGCTCATCGTTTCATATTGTTTGCCTGGATGGTCGGCTTCGTCCTCTTCAACATCCGATAACGAATACAAATGTAATCCCAATTCGTCTAGGCCTCGACCACCGCGAATTGTAACGCCAGGTCGTTCATCGAGAAGACCGCCCAATGTTGGTGTTGCCAATCGATTCCAATGATGTAGCGTCTGTGAACCTTCCATCGGCATGACCAATTCAAGCTTCTTTCGCCATGGATGATTGGAAGAATAACATAAACTGTGACCCGATGAACCTGTTGACATTATACTATCGGATCGCATGCTATCCGGTGTACGGAAACCAGTCCGACCATCATTTATACCTTCGTCGTATGAATATGTGCCTGTGCATTCATTGTTTAGATAAAATTGTTAAATTCAATTTCCAATAAATCGATATTAAAAACTAGTTTTTTTAGAAAAATTAGAAATTACCTGGCGGTGCATTCGATAACATTGTACGACGCACTAAAACTTCAGCTGGTGTTAGTTTTTTCAGTGCTGCTTCCAATTCCTTCGATCCCGGTGCGCCGGGTACTCCGATTGGTTTTGCCGGATAACTATCCTCTGAATCGGATGTTAGGCTATCACGTGAAAATGTTTTCGATCCCATCGATGCTGGATATGATGAATTACCGTATATCGATGGACTTTTTGTTGAGTTTATGCTGCTTGCGAATGGGAATGAAGACATTCGTGGTTGTCCCGAACTGCTACTCATTGACATTGAACCAAGCTGCAGATTTTGATTATCTGTTGCTTTGCCCACACAACGTACCATATCAAATGCCTTCTTATACGAATTATTTTGATTATACATTGAACCCATCATACCGCAACCACGATCTGATGCAATACCGGAGTCTAAGCTGTGGTCGGAAAATAGCGACGATTCCATTAGCTCGGACTGCAACGATTCACCTGCGAATATTAAATCGGATTATTAACAAAAATTCAAATGCTCCTCGGTTATCCACCTTTTTTAGATTTTTAAAATTGCCAAATGTTTATTTAAAATTCAATTAAAATTGTTAACTCACCTGGTGGATATGCAAGCGATGCAATTCCTGGAATTAATGAACTTCGTACAGTTGGTTGTTGTCGTTTACGTTGATTTCGAAGTTCCTTTTGTGTTTCTTCCAACAATGATAGCACCTCTTGATACCGTGCTTTTGATTCCGCCAATTCCATAGCAAGCTCATTTTGATTATCTGTTGTGATCCGTAGTCGTACCGTTTGGTCATCATATTCCGATGTCAATTCTTTTATTTGTAAATTTGCTTTCGTCAAATTGTTCGTTAGCTTTTCGATCGTCTCACTTTGCACTTTATTCTCTTCTTTCAAACTATCCAATTCATAAATAAGATGGTCATACTGATCTTTTGTACTGCTCAATTCATCTCGGATAGTGTCCATTAAACGGCGTTCAATCTCTTCAACTTCATCGGTCTCTTTGACTAATTGTGACGCTTCATTTCGAAGTGATTTATTTTCATTTTCTAAAATTGACACCTTCTTCTGCAGCAAATCCAAATTAACCGATGTTAGTGACATTGGTGTATCTAAGCAAACGGAAAAACCATAATATTCACATTAACTTATGTAATTTACTTAAATGAGTGGAAAAATACTCTAATCCAATTAAGGCGCCTATGAAAGCGACAAATATCTCTGTTTGACTGACTAGCTTTCAAACAAAATCAAACACATCAAGTACAAGATTCACAGATGAGTCTGTGTAGTGATATCAGCTTTGACAATGCAATGATAACGTTTTTCATTTCAGCTAAGCAACACTGCTTGACTTTTTTCAATAACGTAACACACAAATTGATAACACACGCGCTTATCTTTGAATTGACGTCTTATAACATTGAGTTTCGTCGCGACAATTGGTGTCATTTAAATCGATTCTAAATTGAAATAAACTTACATTCTTCTTCGTTTACAATAGCATCATCGTCATTCGTTAAGGCCGCCAACAGGTTACATTTTGTTGTTAATTCGTATTTTAGCTGTGTACAATTTTCGTTGGCCACTTTTACATCGTTTTCCAGTTCTTCAACTTGTTTTTTGAGGCGGGTATTTTCGGCTAATAAATCCTTGCCAATATGCGCTGTCAATTCTAAATCTTTTTCTTTTTCTTCTAACAAACGCGTGACCGCTTCGATGTCATTGTACGTGCGTGTCATCTGGCTCAAACGATTGGAGCAAAGGACTATAAGAAAAAAGAGAAGAAAATAACAAGAAAATTAAGCATTTTATTCATTTAATACTACTTAACCAATGTTTATTAAATTAACTTCTATTTTTAGCAACATCGATGATTGCATAACTTATATCATATGAAATATTGTCAATATCGACAAGGTTTCGACGTTTTTTTTTAACGAAAAAACGCAGTTGAACACCCAATACAAAAAAATGAACGATATTCGTCTTTAAAAAAAAAACAGAAACCATGGCTCAAAAACATAAAGTCTTTGAAATTAATAATCGAGCTCCCAACACTATATGCTGTATCGCTCATTTAAATGGCATATTTAGTAAAGAAAGACAGAGATATGACTATATAATGTCATTTTTTGGTTCAATTATATAAATAACTTGCGATTGTTATCATTTTTGAAGATTTTTCAATTATTTTCCCGAAAAACTAGAGATTCAATATTTGAATAACATTGTTCTGTATCATTTGATGATTTCCACATAAAAACTGATGATTTCTATAAATATTTTTCGTTCTGATATCTCAACACTGATAAAATTCACCTTCGCGAGTTGCACTCTGAGAGCGTCGTTCTTTCTTAAGCAATGCCAAACGTGACGTTGGCGTTGAAGTCAACGAAGAGCGTCGATGTTGCTCTGTAACACTAGATGCAATTGATAATGAAGCTGTTGATATAATTGATTCATTACACGTATCATCATCCTCATCTCTATCCGATATTGTATTTGAGGATTTTGATTTAATAACGCTTTTACGAAAAGCAGTTACTGCCCGACCCAACATTTTGTTATATTACAAAAAAAAAACTTTATGAACACAAATGGTCAAAATATCACAAATTAAATTCAATGTAAATTTAAAAAGACGTAAAGTTCCAAAAAAACATTTTATGTTACGTATAGGAAGAAGAGTTTATATATTGCACTATCACTACTTTGTGTTTACGAAAAATACTCTTTTTCTTGTTCATTTCTTAAATGTTCACAAAATAACCAGTGTTTTGTGTAATTTACGAAAAAATTATTTATTTTCTTTGAATTGTCCATATTTTATGATGGGATGTGTTTGAAATCAATGTTGTATCGTCGAGTCTGTGTATCCTTTTGTAAAATGTCGACCATATTAGATTGTCCCTTCTTTGTTTCTTTTTATTTGAAAAGCAGAGAGAATTGTTCGAAATCGGAGGATGCGCACTGTATCAAATATTTCGCGAAATTCTCTGCGTCAAATGTCATTTGACATCAAGCAAAACATTAGATTGTCAATATTGGTGTTCCAGTAGTTTGACAAATAAATTTTTCAAATTTTTTTATTCGTTTTGCTTCTGCACTAGATTTTCGTTGAACACGGTTCGGTTGCACATGCAGTTTGTTTAAATGATCAAAATGAACTAAACAAACTGGCGAGAAAAAAGTGCAAAGCATAGCACCATACACAATGGGAAACGGCGAAAGAATGCTTGTAAGAGACAGAGAAAAAGAAAAGTGCAACCAAATGTAGCTAACGAACGAAGAAATATAAAACAATAGACGAAGTAGAAGAAATTTTTTTTTGCTGAGAAAATAAATATGGTTCCCACATATTTGCATTGATAATCGTCTTAGATGTAGCCAAACAAGGATGGTAAACAATTAAAAATACAATAAAAACCAAGAAATTGGAATAATACATATACAATGTGATGCTTTAGACGATGTCGAATTTTGCTCTCATGCAGAATGTTCAAATTCAACAATAAATCGTTCATAAACACTTTGGACGCATTTGCATATACATTTTGTTACCTGAGCAATTTTCTTTTACGGCGTACACGCAGACAATGATCCGGAGAGTGAAATCGATAGAACAATGAGTGTGAAAAGAACTTTAGAAGACAAAAAAGTGTGCCCACACATTTGAATATTTTACGGTTTTTCAGTACCTACGCATACATGCTCAATGTTTTTTTTATTGCTTCCGCCTGGAACTCGATGAACTAGCATAGAGCTAGGGTGTTATAATAACAACTGATACTTTTTTGTTTCGCATTTGTTACAAACAATATTTAAAAAAAAAACTCATATTTTTTATATGTAATACGATGCTATTGTAATGAGCGTGTAAGTACATAAGCGGCAATCCACAATGGTACAATTCAATTTTAGCATTTCATTATGTTTTCAGAGGTACTATAAATGGATTCATTCACGGCTTTCTTTTTCGTTTGATATCTATTGTGACCCCGCTTGTATTCGATTCGCTAATGAAGCAATACATCAACGGTGTACCGTCCAAATGATATTGTCTTTGTACATTTTGGAATTATGAAATATTAACCACGGTTTGAATTCACTGTTGTCACAAAAATAATGTAGTTTCTTCTTTTATTCTTTAATGAACAAACGAACCAAGTACCGAATCAATACGTCTTTTTTTGCCATGTATTCAATTGGAGTTACAATTATGTGAACGGTCAAGCCTACGTGTGTTTATATCATTTTAATTCACCATTTATTCAATTTTGTTGTTTGTAAAGTGAAATTTCTTTCATAACACATACCCGAATGAAAGAGATTTTCAATTTCATTTCAGTCCGACACAATTTTTCACATAATGGAAAACAAAACATATACGATGACTTTTGGTTATCGATTTGAAAGTTCAATTAAGTCAAATCGCCGAAAAAATATTTGTTTCTCTATCTTTTTGTCTTTTCGAGGATAATTCTCAACATTTAAGATCCAAAAAATATAAATAACTTTTAATACAACTGAACTCGAGGGATTGAGTATTTTTCATCGGTTGAAGGTTGAATTTGAATGACGTAGTCGCATATATATATTTTTTTCATCTTCGCACAAAATTCCATTCAAATAACAAAAATCCGTTCATCGTGTATGTGTGCGGTGAATTTAAAACGCAATCATTTGACGTTCTAATAGAACATTCACTTTTCAAATGGCACATGCGCCATAGATTTGTTGCGTCGTTTTTTTTATCCTCTGTCACGAAATATGCTTCCCCTATTTGTTTTAAAACATGTTGTGCATATTGCATGGCTATGACGAAAACAGTACACCAATATTGATTACATTGTGCAGTGTCTCACCTTACGGCATACCGAAAAATTGAATACGTAGAAAGATTCAGTTGATAGCCAATAATTACGCGGAAAATCGTCTACCTCATACTGAATTGGACGAAAGATAGAGAGCAAAAATAAAATTTGACATAATGTACAGTGTACACAAGCATAGATCTAGCACCATACATTGGTTGAGTTCGCTTTTAATTTCAACCCATAAATAACAATTATTTGTTTAAAGCAGTGTACACCTTTAAATTTATGGAAACATTTTTATCGATTGATTTATTTGTATCCATGGCATTTCGGTTTCGGCACATTTTCTTTGTACTAGTCACGATTCACGATTTTCACAACATCAACAAAAAAAATAATAATGAACGAATATTGTTCATTGATCGTACTCTACGAAATGGGATCAGATCGATAGTGAATTCGAGTTTCTGTGAGAAAACATGAAATTTCGATTCGTTTTAAATGTTTTCTGAATTCTTGCAAAATATTTCAAGTGCCAAATAGTTATCTAACATTTAACAAAAAAAACCATCGTATTGATTCATTGAAACGTAGCTAATTGGTCGCAATGCCACAATCACATTTGTTTGATCTATTTCCTGATTCATATAGCAATTGTATCAGATACGTATAACACCTTGCCACTACATTCATTGAATCATTTTATATTGCCGTAGCCATTAAGCCTTAAATGAATAAGCAAAAAAGTTATTAATTTCAAACAAAAAATTTACAATGGTGTTTGAATATAGTAATTTCTTTCCGGTTAACCGGTTTTTATTTGAAGAGATTAACCGTGATGGTTTGTTGTATGTTCAACCCGGTAACCGGATTGTACGCAGGCAAACTTCTTAATGTATATATTCTTGATTTAGAAGTGTGCGGAACATATCATATGATCTCTTTAGTGATATGCTAATTAATGACAGATCGTCACAACGTCGAAATTCGTGTATGCTCAATTGTCATTCTGTAAATAAGATTTATATTATTAATACCTTCAAAGAGTAGCTCTTCGTAGTCATTGTCAATCGAGTTGTCTTGCTTTCGTACAAACTGATTGCGTTCACAGTCGGATTCATCGCTAAATTCATTTTCATATTGCAGTTCAACGCATTCACCTTGATTATTAAATATCACACTCTCACATGACTCTAGTGAATTTGATTTTTCACCAAATTTTAATTCATTCGATTCAATGTTGCTTGTATTTTCATCTGTGCTCGCAGACACACCCGAACCATTCGCGTCAATTCTTAAAAATATTTCGGGAGCTTTAAAAAAACTACTACACGATGGTCCTTCACTAACTGGAGTTTCATTTTTGCTCAACGATTCCGACAATTCAACGCTCAAAGGAACACCACCTTCTGTTGAACTATTATTTTCAGTCAATTGATATGTATGCTCATCATATGAATCAAACTCATCGTATTCAAACAAATCCATGAGATCTGTAACGTCTTCGTCAAATGACATTTCTTCAAGTGTCTAACGGTTACACATTATTAATTGATAGGCAACTATTGTACAGGCACTTTAAATCTGTTTTTGAATCACTCTGGAATTTTGGATAATAAGAAATGGAGAAAAAGAAGCAATGCAATGAATGGGCTAAAAAGCAAGTAAGCAAATTGTGTCGTCTAAAAAGCGGCATGAGTTGGTGAGCTCAATGTGATATTATGATATTGTGCAATGCATAACACAAAACAACGAGTTCAATGCAAAATAAAAAAGTATAATGGGTTTGAAAAGATGTGAGAATTTCATTTTATAAGAAATAATTCGGTGGGAAATATCTACTGAAACGACAACATTTTCTATTCCAACAATTGGGAGGACGAAATACAGTAGAATGGCGGTGGAATTGCATGTTGTATGGACTTTTAGCATGGATTACTTTACTTTT